CTGACCCCAAGCAAAGCAAAGCAAAGGGATCGAGAGAAAGGTCCAACAGTGCGGAGCAAGCCAAGGCACCGACATCCGACATTAGCAGCATTAGCAGGCCCGTTAGGAGGCCTTTCGTGGTCTGCATAGCAAGCAAAAGCAGTCGAGCAGCAGAACAGCCGGATGCTCACTGCAAGCGCTCCGCAACTCCCTCGCTTCACCTCCAAACACCCCACTTGCCCAAGGCAGCATACCCCCCTTAAACCGGCAGAATGAAAGAGAAAAGGAAACTGAGTGAGCGCAATTTAAAGAAAGATAGCGCATGTGAGTCTGTGTATGGGCACCGATCAGCCCATGCAACGCAGGAAAGCTGTGGTAGCTTCGAGGTGACGCAGGCTGAACGCGGTTCCATGCGACATCCTGTCGACGCTGTGATGCGCAATCCGCTTCTGCAAGCTTCACCTTTGCAGTGAAATGCCTACTAGTAGATGATTTGGGCTAAAGATGCCCCAAAGTCAGTGCGCAGTGCCATAAAAACGGGCCGTTCAGCAACATTTGGCAAAGTAGGCGAGAAGAGCATCTCCGAAAGGCTCTGTTGGCACACTTCGCTTTGGATCTTCAGCCTTGGCTTTAGAGAAGCAGGCTGTAGATGAACTGCGGGCAAAGGAACCGCGTGGCTACCTCGAGTTCATTGCAGACGTTCTGTCTTTTCCGTGGTCGACTCGAAGGGGTGCGGGATGAGTTTGGGTTCAGGTAAGCATGGCGCACCCTGGCGGCTTTGAGTGCCTAGCTTGGCTTTGCCCGCTTTCCAAGTGCAAAGTGTATCTATGTGAATACGTTCAGGATTGATGGCGGAGGCAAGCGCCTCCCTTCTGCGCAGGACTTGCTACATGAATGGAGGCGTGCTCGATGTATTGTTGCTTGCAAGCCTTTGCTTCACGAAGGACTTGGACGTCACAGTGCTGGCGTTTGCACAGTGGCTTTCCGAGCCATGGGCTGCAGCAAGCGATCTGGTGTGATAAGCAACAAGACCAGCCCTTGCACGCCACATCTACGAGTGAGTTCAGGAGATGAAGTTGCGCAGCAACTCTTCCCTTCAGCAGATGCTTTTGCCTCAGAACCGGGCTGCAATTTGAAACACACTAGTTGTATTTTTCGAGGCTGGCAGAGATGGGCATCATCCGGAATGGTATCGCCCTCGACAAGTCGTTTCAAGCGCACTGTGGTGCTGCCCCAACTGCTCTCCAGCGCTGACAATGGCAGGCATTACGTCCAACAACACGGATTTGACAGAGTTCAAAAGGAACACTGCCACCGTGCAAGCCCTAACAGTTTGCACTATGGTGTCATGCCGCATTCAACTCTCGGCTTGCCAAGACTCTGCCGCACGCCCTGCCGTGAATGCATTGAGAAAGGTCCAGCAGCAGATGCAGTCACAGATCTCTGATGTACGGGACAAGCTCACCGACGCGTGCGCATTTAGATTCCGGGCCGACCATTGCATGGTGTTTTCTGCAGAGTCAGCTCTGCAACATGGCAGAAGACAAGGTACACAGAGATCGCCAACATGAAGAAAACGAAAAGCCAGTTTGAGCAAGAGGTGCATAAACAAAAGCTACCGAAATCTGCTTGTCTGGTCTCTAGTTTGCACCAGGTCCATGCAGAGAGCCAGTCTCTGTCGGAGCAGTTGCAGTGACTGCGGCATGCTTACATTAAGCAGTTGCTCGTAGCTAAGTCGATCGCTAGCCTTTGGCTGTGGTTTGTTGCTGTTTGTCGCCCTACGCCAGGTTCAAGACACTGGAGCTAGAAACCCTCAAGAAGGTTGCGAGCTTATATTGCACAGCTGCTGGGAGCGGTACTGCCGGACTGTTGCGAAATCGGGAGGCGTATGCTCACACGCATCAGCAGCTCCAGCAGCAGATTATCCAGTTGCAAACAGAGGTGCATACCAAGTTACAAATGAGCTGCTCGCACCGCGATTCAGACTCAGTCTGCTCATTCGCTGCAAGGTGAATGAGCTCAGGACGAAGGGGGATGATGTGAACAGGCCGGCCGATGTCCGACGATCGCTGCATGTGTCAAATCTGCCCGTGGTACGTGCAACCACGAAGCCGTGAGACCCTGCAGGCAGCAGCATCTCACCTTCGAGCAAAGTGTGAACAAGGTCTCCGAGGTCTGGAATCTGGAACCTGGATGTTCTTGACATTTCTTGACTAGCCGCGCTATCCTGACATTTCATACTTGCCTTCATCTTACATCTCCGATACGTTGAGCAGTCAAATCAGTGCAAGAGCCATGCCGGATGAAGGTGTGAATTGAGATTTTGCGGGAGCCGTGTCGAGCCATCGTCGAGTTGAGGGACGACGGCTGCGCATTCTGCATCCATCTCGTCAGGGTTATTTTTACATTGTATCTTATTTTACAAAGGTTCACGAATATTCTGTCGATCTTCGTATCTTTTGTTATTTTGTTACCGCCTTCAAATGGCTTATTCGTGCAGCGAGAGTCCGGCTGCAGTCCCATTCGTAACTTTGCGTGTCAGGTGGAAATGGCAGCACAGTATACGAACAACGAGATGAAGAGGAGCCGCAGTCCATGCCGACACACACTGCCTTCAATCCAACTCGTGTTTTGCTCAGGCTCCGCAGTGAGCACGATCAGGCCATAGCAAGTCTCGCTGAGAACATGAACAGGCACGACCGACGACTCGCTGCTTTTCAGAAGCGTGAGCACTGCTATGTCCAAACCCTCGCTCCAACGGGCTTGCAGGTGGAATGAAGCTGTGAGAGACCTCTCAAAGGAATTCCATGACTTCCAAAAGGTGCCTCGGCTCATAGTGTGGATCCAAGTAGTGGTGGCTTGTACATTGGGATCGCATGGGCAAACGGTAGGACGAAAGTTTGACCCACTTGCTTCTTGGGATTAGAGGCCCCCATTCCCCCGTAGA